ACACACACACACACACACACACACACACACACACACCTACTATGTCCCTCTATCCTTGTGGGGACTTCCATTGACTTCTATTCATTTTTTTTTTGGAAATTTTATATCCTAACCCTGATCATTTACCCTAAAATTAACCTCACAGGTACATCATCCGGTCCCCACGAGGCTGCATTTTCCTAAAAAATCATCCCCACCAAGTAGCAAAACCAAGGGCACACACACAGACACACACAGACAAAGGAGCGTGCTCAGCATGTGGACTAACAGCAGCTCATTTTGCCTGGATTTAGGGTGTTTTGAGTTCACAAACAACTCCGGTTACTTTTTTAAAAGTTACATTACGTTAGCTCGTAGCTGTGCTGCTGATCAGCCAACCCATTCTCGCTCCCGAGTCGTCACATATTGACACTTTTCCCTCTGCGTCCAATTTCGACGCGTCGGGTACTCCCTTTGCGTCATTTTTTGACGAGATGGGGCGGGATCTGTTGTCATAATTTCTGAAAGTGTAGAAAATGCACAAAAACTACTATCCCAAAGCCAAAAATTACCTTCATTTACTTCAGACATCCTGTCCCTGACCCTAGTACCTAAAATTAACCATTTTTAGAAAATGTAGGAAATTCACATCAACTATGTGTTCCAAAGCCTAAAATTACCTAATATTCACTGTAGACATCCTATCCCTGAACCTAGTACCTAAACTTAGCCATTTATCCTGATCCCTCATGTTAACCTCAGACCCCCCGACCCAAAGACCCCTGGTGGCGCAACCTGGAAAAGCCGCAGGCGGTAAGGACTGATGCAAGGGGGTCACCTGACGTGTCAAAATAAGACGCAGAGGGAACTTTGGAAAAGCGTCAATATGTTGACGAGTCGGGAGTGAGAATGTGTTAGATCAGCACTAACAGGCATGGAGCCACTGACTGCCGGTCACACGCGGGTCTGTGTTGGTGGTTCTTGCTGTATCAGAGTAATTATTGATAAGGTAACCATGCTGTAGCTTCACCTGTTGTGTCTTCCTTGAAAGAAAGAAAAAAGTAGCGTACAAAGCTGTCACATCAGACAGTTTTCACTGCATGTCACATCACACTCACACATGCCTTGCTATCTTTGTGAGGACCACACACACAGACAGCGCTCACAGCCTCGCTCTGCGAACAAGAACCCGCGGTGTTGGTTTTTCAAAATAACGTATATCTTAACTTTTTATTGATGTTTAAATAGGGTTTCAAAGTCTGATTAGTCTTAGTATAAGTCTTGGTATAAGAGCGCAAATATAGGATATAAATATATATGATATGCTTTACATTGCTTTAGCCTAATATAATAGGCCTATCATTAAAAAAGGAAAAAAAAACTTTATTCTGACAATGTGGCGGCTATGCTTTTCACCATGGCGGTGCGTCACGATCAATTACAAGTAGCAGAAACCCTGGCTCATTTCACTGTGGATAATGAGACTAAGTCTTGGTTTAATTTGATTTAATGTCAGATAATAAGAAAAAAAAGTGTTGTGTGTCTTTTTGCATAGTATATGTAAATATCTGGTTTTATATCTATAAATTGTTGAGTTGTGGAAACATTAAAAATACCAGTGTTGGTCTGATTATTAGATCATACTGTACATGGCCAGTTTTTTTTTTCTTTACTTATTTAGTTAGCAAATTCTATATCGGCTAATTAAAAGTAAAGTGACAATATATTTTTTTTGCTTCTCATCTCTAACACCGGAAACGTCCGTATTTTTTCTGTTTCTTTGTGTTTGCCTAGTTTTGAACAACACAGCTGTCTACAGACCTGAGGGCTGTAAGAACAACAGGAGCTGCTTCGCACCATAAAGCTGCTGGACAAACCTCTCCCTGGATAGCTCACACCTAACCCCTTTGTCATTCATCTCCGCTCCCCGACTCCTCGCCTGCTCCTTCTCCCTTCTCCACGTGGCCTATGTCACCTCCCTTTTCCTATGCACTCGCTGGCTAGTTGACAGTTAGAGCCGGTCAAGGTCATCCACCCACCCACACTCCTTCCCAAGAGCTCGAAGAGGTGCAGTAGTGGAGCTGAAAGCCCTACGCCCCAGTGGCTCCCTGACTCCCTGTGAGAACCAAGTGAAGTGCGGGCTCCTCTGCTGGGAGAGCAGGCTGCCGGCCTGAAGGTTTGGCCTCGGACTGACGCTCCTTCTGTGGCGAGCCCGGGCCAGACACAGCCTGCCAGGAGCTGACTTGACCTCCTCAAACTGATGTGGCACAGGCTGGCAAAGCGGTCACTGCTGCTGCACAGTTTGGGAGGAAAAAGAAAACGATCTCTGCCCCTTTCTCACTTGCTCACTGAGCGCAGCTTTATCCTTTGTTCTTTTCCACATGAATTTTCTTTTTTTCTACATTTGGTACTTAGTTTCTGCAAAGCACTGAACACCGATATTAAGAACTCATAAATTTAAAAGGGCTCTCGTGAAATTTAAAGGCATAAATCTGTCCAAACTTGTAATAAAGATTACTTTAATTTAGTTAATTGTTGGTGCGATTTTTAAAGTAAAAAAAAAAAAACCAAACAAAAAACAAACAAAAACAAAAAAACAATAAAAAACATCTTCCCTCTAAATTTTGATTGACCATACTTCAAAATGGGCATCCTCAAATACGTTCAAGGTCAGGATAACATTACATTTCTTATTTCCATCCATCCGTTCATCATGGTGCGTTCACACCGAACGCGATTTCAGCTTCAAAATCGCAGCCAACGCTGAAGTTTGAAGC